TATCTCATATAGATGCGTTTCAGTCAGAAACCAATAATAAATGTTAATCTTTTGCCAATTCTGAGAGATTATAGGTCTTTGGGAAATATTGGTTCCAGATCTAGGAAGACCATTTACGTGCAACATCTTCCAATAAATTGGAAATGAGAAAATTAGTTTAAGTTGCTATTATTCGAAAATTAGAGAACGAAACCTGATGGTTTTCTTTTATTATTATTTAAATTATCCGAAAAAGAGAAACAAAAAATAATTATTTGCGTCATTTGACGAAAATACAAATTGAGACCTACTCCCCACCCCCATTTAGACGACAATTTGGACACCAAAAATAAGATATCACATTCCGCTGATAAACTACCTCCAGCCTGAAGAGAATTTCGAATTATCCATTGGCAAATGAAAAAGCAAATAAATCTTATCGCCACTACGTTATCGCCTAACAATGTCGAAGAGGCCTTCATTAAAATTGTAATTTGATACCAAAAAAAACATCACTATTGAATTTGTAATTTGATACCCATCGTTGAGTTGAGGGGGGAGGTAGTGGTTTATCTCCGCAACCACTTAAGTCTAGTGTGAGATTTGTAAATAGTGGCGGAAAATAATAAACTATTTGCGCTAAAGTAGTTGGCAATTAAAGTTATTAATTAAGCTCTTCAATGAAGTGAATCGTTTAGATGGTCATAGGGGACTAGAAAGGGTATTTAAGGGCAGGCTACTTGTTTGTTATTCCTTTGTTATTCCGTTTGTAACATTCCAAAATATTCGTCGTAGACCCCATAATGTATATATATTCATAATCAGCATAAAATTCTAAGCCGATTTATCGTCTGTTGATATCACGATACAGGCCACATTATTTGACGTAGAGCGTCAAAATTTAGCAGAATAATGGTTGGTATTGAAAATGAGATATATCGGTCCACGTTTTGGTATAATCCCCATATGACGGTACCTCCTGATATTCGGTATTTCGATTTTTTTTGCACATTTTTTTCACATATTTGTCTGAAATTTGGTATTTGTAGGTCATAGTGGGTCCTAGTTCGTGTGGGGAAACATTGCATCTATAGGTCCACGCTTTGGTATTTCCCCCATATAACGGCATCTCACGATCTTCGGTATTTTAATGATTTTTGCCACATTTTTTCGTAGATTTGTCTAAAAATTGGTATTTGTTGATCATAATGAGTTCTAGCCCCGTATGTATAGGTCCTGGTTTATATAGCGGTACCTCCCGATATTCGGTATTTTGATGATTTTTGCCACATTTTCCTAAGAATATGTCTAAAATTTGGTATGAGTGGGTCATAATTGGTTCTAATGTTTCCATTACCCTAAAGTGGAGGGTAATGGAAATGGTTCGGCCCGGCCGAACTTAATGTTGTTTTACTTGTTTTATGTAAGTGTGTGATAAACAGGGTTGAAAGTCTCAGTCGGCTTCCCGAGACAGATATTTATCGTCAGCATTTTGCCATTTGTTTATGTATACCCTTTACTCGAAAAGCAGTGGACCAATGTTTTCCATAATCGTTCCATCGAACCAAGTTTGGACTATTCGCTTTATATGAGACACTTCTATGTTTTTTTTTTCGAATTTTTTAACTTTTGTGAGTAGGCTTATACATTAGATCGATTTTCACAGTACTAGACAAATATTTGGAAAATTTGAAGAAAATTTCATATTTTTGGAACATTTTCATACCCCCCACCACACATAGCACGGAAGGTATATAAGAATCGCCACTCCGTTTGTAACTCACCAAGATAATAATTTAAACCTAACCTATTTTTGATCAGCTTGAATTCTAAGCCCTGTCCTTCCGTCCGCCTGTTGTAATCAAGCTAGAGTCAAAACGAATAAAGATAGGAAGCTAAAATTTTGACCTGATTGAAAATGGGTTCACGGTTCACGATATCGTATAGCCGGCTTGTAAAGGCGCCCCCGATATTCTGTACTTTGATTATTTTAGCTATATTTTTAACCGGAATTGTTCCAAATTTGTTATTTAAAGTTTGAAGCTCGTAATGAGTACTACAATCTATGCCAGAAAATTGTCTATGCAGGTCCACGTCATCGTACATTCCACATGTTACGGTACCTCCCTTTATTCGGTATTTTGATGACATTAGCAACATTATTCACCAAAATTGTTTCAAATTTAAAATTTGAAGGTTGGAAACGGTACTACAGCCTATGACAAAAAAAACACTTATGCAGGCCCACGTCTTCATATAGACCCCATATAACGGTTTTCATTTAAGTGGTATTTTTTGACGACTTTTTTTTTGAAATTTTTCAAAATCCGGAAAATTTTTCAACTTTTTTTTATTTCCCATCTTCGAACTCAATCTAAACTTGGTAAAAATTTTACTACCAAGTACCAATTTTTGATGAGAGTATTATAGTGGTCACAGGCATATGGAACCAACCTGGTTTAAGGGTCTAAAAAATATTTGGATATGCAGTCCACAGAAGACTTTGAAACAGAGTTTTGGTAGATAGGAAAATTTTTAAAGGCCAACGGTTTATAGAAGATGTATATAATGCCCTGTGTCAACAAAACCTTTTTTTAACGTTCATCAGCCTACAAAATACCTTTTGGAGGCCTTTGGTCCAAAAAAGACCAATAAAGATTCAAAATATATATAACAGCTCTTCGGTCCACACAAGACCATCAGCAGGTTTTCTGTCCATGGAAGACATCCATAGGGAGACCTGTGAAGGGATCTTCGGCCCACAGGAGATCTTTAACAGGTCTTGAATCTCCAGAAGGCTTACAACCGGGTTTCGGTCCTTAAGATACCTTTAACAAGTTTTCAGTCCACAGAAGATCTTTAAAAGTCTTCAGTCCATAGAAGACCCTCAACAGGTCTTCAGTCCATAGAAGATTTGTGAAGGGATCTTTGGTTCATAGAAAACCTTTTACAGCTCTTCGATCCTTAGAAGAGCTTTTATAAATTTTTTGGTCCATAGAAGGCCTTTAATAGGTTTTCGTTCTGGGAAGGGTATAGGAAGTCTTTTAAAAGGTCTTCGGTCTTAAGACGAACTTTGGAAGGTCTTCTGTCCTTAAACTTTGGTCCATATAAGACTTTTAACAGGTTTTCGGTTCGCACGTCGGTCCACAAAGGAACTTTAGCAGGTCTTCGCTCCATAGAAGACTTTTAACAATTATTTGGTCCAGATAAGGCCTTTAACATGTCTTCGGTCCAGGGACAGGTCTTCGGTCCTTAGATGAACTTTAGCAGGTTTTGGGTTCATAAAAAAATCTGTTACAAGTCTTTGGTTCACAGAAGACATTTAAGAGGTTTTCGGTGCCCAGAAGAACTTTAACAAATCTTTGGCACATAAACGGCCTTAAACAGGTTATCGATTCAGGTCTTTGATGCATAGATGATCTTTTAACAGGTTTTCGGTTCACAGAGGACCTGTAACAGGTTTTCGGTTCATATAAGACCTGTCAAAGGCCTTTGGCACATAAACGACATTTAGATGGTATTCAGTCAATAATGGATCTGATTCATAGATCTTTGATATATAGGCGATATGAAACAGATCTTCGGTCCATAAAAGACTTTAAAAATATATTAGACTCATGAAACCCTTTTGACGGGTCTACCATCCAGACAAGACCGTTAGCAGATCTTCGATCCATAGAAGATCTGAAAAAGGTTTATGGTCCATAGAAGACCCATAAAAGATCTTGCATCCATATAATACCCGTAGAAGGTTTCTGATCCATAAAATTCCTTTATTAATTTTCGATCCATAGACGACCGATCTGACGTCTCCGGGTCGTGGAAAAGCGTTAGTAGACCTTCGCTCCGCAGAATACCTGAAAAACGTCTTTGGTCCAGACAATACTTTTTTGGATCTATAGAATATCTGAAAGAGATTCTGGGTCCATAAAAAACTTTTAACAAATCTTTGATTTATAGGAGACCGTTAATTTATCTTCGGGTCATACAAAACCTAAAAAGGGGCATTGGTCCACAGATAACTTTTCAAGAGTCTGCGGTCCTAAAATGGTCTTCGGTCTTTTGATGGCCTGCAAAACATGTTTAGTCCATAGAAAATCTGTTTAAGGTCTTTGGGTCTTAGAAAACTGATGGAAGATCTTCGATCCCTAGAAGATCTGTTGGAGGTCATCGGTTCATAAAATATCTTTTGAAGGTCTTCGGATCTTCGGAAAAAATGTTCCCTCCATTGTTAATCATCAAAAATCTTCGGTTCATAGAGGACCCTTAAAAATCCACCAGAAGACCTTTAAAGCCTTGCGGTTCAAAGAAAACCTGTCAGTAGAAGGACTGTAAAATGTCTTCGGTCCATGGAATACCTGTTAAAGGTCTTGGGTTTATAAAAGACTTCCAAAAAGACTTATTTTTATAGAGAACATTTTTGGTTAATGGAAGATCCAAAAATGATCTTAGGACTATAGACGACTTCGAAAAAATCGTTAAGTCTATGTATGAATTCTGAAAGATTTTCGGTCTCCGGGGAAACTAGTCAAGGTGAACAGTATCTGTTAGACCATGAAAAAGTCTTCAGTTCTGCGAAAGCTGTTTTGTTTACGAAAGAGAGAAATTGATCTCTAGTCCTTGATAGAAGCTCAGAAATAGTTTTCTCAACAAAGAAGCCCCTTGAAGTTATTCTGCCTACAAAAGGTCTCTAAGAGGTCTTTGGTCTGTGGAAGACCCTTTGAACGAACTTCGACATAGGAATAATCTTTAAATAAAGATTGATTTGTATCTATTGCCTTTTGAGGCTCAATCGTTGTCGAAATGTACATGAAAAAATCTTCGAATATTAAATTTTATGGACCATACTATCTTCTGAATTTCTTGCGTTCTACGGAAAAAAAAATTCAATAGTTTTTAAAAACTACCTTAAGTTTTTCTTTTGATGAAAAACCTTCTCTCAATAATATTTATACTAACCTCCCTTTTCCTTAGGTTTCGAAAAAACAAACATTGAACCACTTCATGATTAATTTCACATTTTCCTGAACCTTATTTCCGGAAAGGGGCCTTTGGCCTTTATTATATTCTTCTTCTTCTTATACTTATTTGCAAAATTATTAAATAAAAATTCAATTTTTATTAACTTTAAATTAGCATTAGTAAATATTTTGAAAAATCAAACTGGTCACCGCGACTAAGATTGCCGTCACGGCATTCACCTTCCCAGCTCCGTTGAGATGATCATCATTGACCTCATCCAAATCGTATTTGTTACAGCCATCGGTTTCACAGATGCGACAGCCCACCATGGGGTAACCGTTCGATAGACTCTGACAGGTGAGGAATTTATTGGCATTCAAGAGGGTGGTGCAGCCACGATTTGTGAAGATGGTGTTGTTTGCTGAAAATATTGGAGAATATATTAGTTAAGGTCTTTTCGGGTAGTAAATAAACAATGAATGTATGTACTATATTATACAGGGTGAGATGAAAAAACTGCAACCAACTTCAGACTGCTGTCATTTCTATTCCACCCGCCCGACAGCTCATTGCTTACAAGCGTACAAAAGCATTTTGGAGAGAATATTCCAGAAAAAAAGTTATTCGTGATGGAATTCTTTATATTCAGCTGGAAAACCACAAGTGGTTATCGTTAGAGAAAACCAGAATTTAAATGTGCATAAATCGCTCGTTACCGTGATACTAGTAGCGTAGCCCGACATCAGGGAAGTGAACGGAAGAAAACGGCAACATCAGCAGAAATGTTTCGAAAAATAAAGGAGCGACTTGATCGAAACCATCGTCGCAGTGGACGAAAAATGGCTCGTGAGCTGAACATACCGCAATATTCCATTCGGCAAATATTGAACCAGTAACACCAGCCGACTTTATGATACCCTACAATACTTTGCTAATTTAGTAGAGCTCCGCATAACAATTAAAAGTTTTTACGGGAGAATTCAATTCTACATGCTATGATTATAATTATAATTTAAAGTTCAAAAGACTAAATATGCCGAAGCATTTGTATCTTTTAAATTTGGACATGTATTGTCCATTTGATGTATATGGGAGCCATATCCAAATCTGAACCGATCCTGATAAAATTTGGCAAAGATATTTCTGAGCTGTATTTGATATATTTCCCCAAATATTGTTGTTGCAGAGTGCATATTACGGCTGCGGAGGACTAAAATAACAAATCGGATGAACAATATATATGGGAGCTATAACTATATCTGAACCGATCTTTACCAAATTTGACATTTTGACTAGCTTCTAGACTCATTTCGGTCGTAAGTGCCAAATTTCATCCCATTTGGGCAAATATTAGACGTTTGGTGCACAATAAAAGGTGAATCGGACGAAGTTTTATGTATGGGAGATATATCCAAAACTGAACCGATCTTGATAAAATTTAGTATTTCTGAGCTGTATTTGATATATTTCCCCAAATATTGTAGTTGCAGAGTACATATTACGGCTGCGAAGGACTAAAATAACAATTCGGATGAACAATATATATGGGAGCTATAGCTATATCTGAACCGATTTCGATCAAAATTTGGCATACTTATTTTCAGGCCTAATTTGGTTGTATGTGCAAAATTCCATACTATTCGGGCTGATATTACACGTTTGGTGCACAATAAAAGGCAAATCAGACGAAGATATATATGGGAGCTATATCTAAATTTTTTACCGATTATCTCCAATTTCAATAGGGTTCGTCCTAGGGCCAAACAAATGATTTGTGCAAAATTTCATCTGGGACGGGTAATAAATTCGAACTGTACTTTGTTCACAAAAATACATGGACAGACGGACAGACGGACGGACGGACATGCATAAATCGACTCAGAATGTGATTCTATGCAGATCATCAAAAGGAACTATGGGTCTATCTCGTTTCCTTTTGCCTGTTACAAACAAATGCACAAAGACATAATACCCTGACCACCTTGAGATGTAGGTTATAAAAATGAGCTCGGGATGTAGCCATTGAAATTCCAAAAAAGTACAAGGACTTACACCGCAGCAGAAAGTTAATAGACTCAAAAGAGCTAAAGAGTTGCTTCGCTTGGTCGAATGTGGTGAAGTGCCGATTTTAGATTTCTCCGATGAGAAAACATTCCTTGTCCAGCAGAGCAGTTTGTAAACAAACAGAATGATCGTGTTTACTTGCCAAAGAGGTCAGCTGAAAATGTGCACCTTCGGTCACCAGGCCACCAGAACCCAAGCAGCGGCCATGGTGATGGTTCGGGCCGCAATAACAGCCGATGGTAGCTCTCCGCTCGTATTAATCGACCGTAGCATCAGAAATGGACCAAAATACCGCAGAGCAACATTCGGGCAGCGTGTGACAGTTTCATTGGCCGTTTGAAGGCCATAATTTGTGCCAAAGGTGGCCGATTCAAACAAATCTAAACTTATTCTAAAATTTGATGCTATTTCCGACATTTTTATACCCTCTAACATACATAGTATGGAAGGTATATTAATTTCTTCATTTCGTTTGTAACTCATCGAAATAATAATTTTCGACGCAACAAATTCCGTCCGTCCGTCCGTCTGTTTTAAGCACGCTGCAGTCAAAACAAATTAAGATAGGAAGCTAAAATTTTGCACAGATCTGTCTTTGTCTACTACTATACTATACTATACTATACTATACTATACTATACTATACTATACTATACTATACTATACTATACTATACTATACTATACTATACTATACTATACTATACTATACTATACTATACTATACTATACTATACTATACTATTCTATACTATACTACACTATGCTATGGGTATCTACTTACCATAATATCGGTACATAAAACATACAGGCTCCTCTAGTTTCAGTAAAGCTCCCGTCGATAATTTCGTTCGCGAGGGGTCAAACGATTTGGGATCTTCATATTCCATGTAATCATAGTCCTGTGGCTGAGGGGCAGGATTGACAGGAGCCTCAGGGGAGAATGAGGGCAAAGGTGCCGGCGAGGATGAGGATGATGGTACAGCGGGTGCTGAGGTCGATGCTGATGCTGCATTTGACACCATTACTGTGGAGGATGAAACACCACTGCCACCTGGTTTCATGGTGGCTGCCAGTGTCTTTTCTTCAGTTACTACCGGTTTCATTGTTGTTGCCATTGTTGTCTTTCTATTGGAGCCTCCTGTCAAATTTGGATTACGTTTTGGTTCATCATTGTAATCGTAATTATAATCTTCATTTTCTGCTGGTGCTGGGGCAGGGGCTGGAGCGGGTGCTGGAGCAGCAGCCGGAGATGGGGCTGGTGCTTGCCCTGGAGCAGGTGCTTGTCCTGGAGCAGGTGCTTGACCTGGACCTGCTCCGGATCCTGGAGCTGTTGCTTGCCCTGGAGCAGGAGCTGGAACAGGTGCTGGTACTTCAGCTGGTGCCGGTGCGAGTGCTGGCGCAGCACCCGAATCGGATGGCTCCCCACCTGTAGCCGCCGGTGAGCTGTTATCAGCCGGAAGCTGAGCTGGTGCACTGTTATCACCAGTAGTGTTTGTTGTACCAACATCCGGCAATGGACTTGGCTTCTGAGTCACCACCGTATTCAGTTCTCCACATATGCTCAGCTCTTTAAAATCTTGATATTCATTGCAATCTTCACAGACATAGCATTGAAGACCTTGAAAAAAATAGGTGGGGAAATATGAAAAAAATTATCAAAATAAATAAAGATAGCAGCCCGTTTGAAGGTGCAATTAAATTAGAAAAGTTAAATAAATATTTGTTAGTTCAAAATTTTGGGGTAAGCATTGTCAACAGAGATTTTCAAAAAAATTGGGGATTTCGGCACAAACAAAGGTGGGTGATGGCGATTGGAGCAAACATGTGATGTAGAGCAGGTTTACTAAGTGAAAGGAATCGATGCCCATGTCAAATGACGAAATATTTATATATCTCCAGTAAAAATATATATCACGCCATGTTAGATACAAATATGGAATTTTCTGATCGATTAGCCGTTCTATGGTGAATCACAAAATAAAAACAATACCATTCATTGTGGGGCAAAGGTATGTTATCCACAAAAATATGATAAATTATCATCAATCAACTAACCGTTGACATTGTTAAGAAACCCCACCCCCATCCAAATTCATCATAGCATAGTCGGTAAGTTTAGGCAAAGTACACCAGAGGCTGGATTCTTGTTCTATGAAAATATGAAATGAAAACTATTTTTTTATAAAATTTCGCAGGTCCTCAATTCTTGTTCTATGAAAATTTGAAATGAAAACTTTTATAAAATAAAGAAATGTCAAATGAAAAGTGTTTTAAAGGAAATATTTTTCATTTCAAATTTTCATAGAACAAGAATCCAGCCTCAGTTGGAATGTATCCTATGGATACTGGTTTTTAATAAAATTATGGATCATTGTTTTTATAACCTACACCATATAGTGGTGTAGGTAGGTTGCATTTGTTTGTAACATGGAGAAGGAAGCGAGATAGACCAATAGTTATTTTTGAGGATCTTCGTACAATAACTTTCTGAGTCGATTTATGCATGTCAGTCCGTCCATCCGTTTATCTGTCCATGTATTTTTGGGAACAAAATGCAGGTCACATTTATTATCCGATTGAGCTGAAATTTTGCAAACAATATTTGTTTGGCCCACAGACAAAACCTATAGAGGTTGGTGAGAATCGGTTCAAATTTAGATATAGCTCCCATATATATTTTTAACCGGGTTAATTGTGCACCAAATGGCCAATGTCAGTACATATGACCTGAATTTGATATATCCTACCCCCTAAAATTTGGCGAAAAGCGGTTCAGATATAACCATAGCTCCCATATATACGTTTCTTTCGATTTGGGGTTTTAAGTACCTTACACCAGATATCAGATAAAGCCCAGAAAGCCGAGTCATTGTAATTATAGGTCCACGTTTTGGTATAGCCCCCATATAACGGTGTCTCCCGATATTCGGTAATTTGATAATTTTGGCCACATTTTTTCACGGATTTGTTTAAAAATTGGTATTTGTAGGTGATAATGGGTTCTAGCTCCTTTGGCGAAACATTGTATGTGTAGGTCAACGATTTGGTATAGCCCCAATATAACGGTACCTGCCGATATTCGGCATTTTAATGGTTTTTGCCACATTTCTACTAATGTTTACTTTACCCTAAGGTGGAGGGTATTAAAAGTTTGGCAAGGCCGAACTTAATGTTTTTTTACTTGTTAAATTTTATTGAATGAAAGCAAAAAATATCGGAAATAGCATCAAATTTTATGCTGCCCGAATGTTGTTCTGCTGTATTTTGGCCCATTTCCGTCAAAGCGCTTGCTTGAGGGGATCGACACTTTTGTACTTTTTGTGCCAACCTTGCTTTCCAAAATACTTCAGACACAATAGTCCAACGGATTGGTATCCAGAGATTTTGGTGGCCATTGTGCGCTGGAAATGAGGCGAGGAACCTCATTTTGTAACCATTACTTGGGTGGCGCGTGCTGAGTGCGATGGTGTTGAGTCGTGTTGGAATGTCCAAGGTCCGCGGCCAACATTTTTGTGTCCCCAAGGCTTTAATACATCCTCCAGAAAATTTTCGCGATAATAGTCGGCATTATTCTGATGCCACGGTCGATTAATACTAGCGGAGAGCGACCATCGGCTGTTATGGCGGCCCACACCATCACCATGGCCAGCGCCTGAGTTCTGGTGGCCAACCGAGGGTGCACATTTTTAGCTGACATATCTGGCAAGTAAATAAGGACATTTTGTTTTTTTACAAACTGCTATGCTGGACAACGAATGTTTTCTCATCGGAGAAAACTAAATTCGGCAGTTCACCACTTTCGGCCAAGCGAAGCAACTCTTTAGCTCTTTTGAGTCTATTTTCTTTCTGTTGCGGTGTAAGTTCTTGCGTTTTTTGGAATGTCAATGGCTTTACCCCGAGCTCATTTTTCAATCTTTGCCAATTGGAATATGGCGATATTTTCAGCTCACGGGCTATTTTTCGGCAACTGCGAGGTGGGTTTCGATCAAGTCGCATCTTTACTTATCGAAGCATTTCTGAAGATGTTGCTGTTTTCGTTCGTTCACTTCCTTGACGTCGGGCTACGCGATGGTACGAAACACAAATGATTTATTCACATTTAAATGGTGGAGTGACCTAACGATAGCCCATTGTGTTTTTCCAGCCAAATATAAAGGAATCACACTATCACGCTTGAATTCAATCACGAATAACTTTTTTTCTGGAAAATTTTCACCAAACTGCTTTTGTACGCTTGTAAACAATATAATGAGCTGTCACTGGAATAATTTTAACAGCTGTCGTCCGAGTGGCTTAAAAACGACAGCAGTCTGAAGTTGGTTGCAGTTTTTTCATCTCATCCTGTATATTTAGGTCCGATACGAAATGGACAATATTGACCCATTTCTTCGAAACATACTTAATAGAGGTTTAACTATTCAAATAAGCATAAAAGAAGTCAAAGTATATTAAAATCGAACATTGACTGATTATATACATCTGTCGGACAACCGACAGATACCCTTTTAACCTGTTTAGCTATACTTTCATATTCAGATGTATTTTTATACCCTCCACCAACCCTCCATGTATGTTAAGTTAGTCATTCCGTTTGTAACACCTCGAAATATACATGTTAGACCCCACAAAGTATATATATATATATATTCGTGATCAGCATAAAATTCTTTGTCGATTTAAAAAAAAAATTAAATTTTACTCAAATGTATATTATGCACGCAGGACTTTTGGTATTGAAAATGGGTCATGTGGGTCCACGTTTTGGTATAGCCCCCATATAACAGTACCTCCTGACATTCGGTATTTTGATGTTTTTAGCGACAGTTTTCCTCGGAATTGCTTAAAATTTGGTATTTGAAGTTCGAAATGGATACTACAGCCAGTGAGAGAAAATTGTCTCTGCAGGTCTGAGTCCTCGTATAGCCCCCACACATCGGTACCTCCCGATATTCGGTATTTTAATGATTTTAGAGATATTATTCACCGGAATTATTCCAAATCAAATTTGGTATTTGAAGTTCGTAATGGATGCTACAGCCTGTGACAGAAAACTGTCCGTGCAGGTCCACGTCTTCATATAACCCCACATGCTGTTACCTCCCTATATTCGGTATTTTGATGACTTAAGCTACATTATTCACCGATTTTTATACTCTCAACCACAGTATGGAGAAATATACATTTTATACGAAATATAAATTGTAGACCCCACAAAGTATATATATCCTTGATGAGCATAAGACTTAGCAATGTCCGTTCGTCTATCCGCCTGTCCGTCTGTGGAAATCACTCTAGCTTCCGAACGAAATGAAGTAAGTTGATAAAAATTTACTTAAATATGTATTATGTGTGCAGGACTTTTGGTATTGAAAATGGGCCATGTAGGTCCACGACTTCGTATAGTCCTCATCTAACGGTACTTCCCGATATGCGGTATTTTGATGATTTTAGCGATATTATTTACCGGAATTGTTTCAAATTTGGTATTTGAAGTTCGAAAGCTATACTACAGTCTAAGACAGAAAATTGTCTGTGGAAGTCCAGGTCTTCATATAGGCCCCATATAACGGTACCCCCGATATTCGGTATTTTGATGATTTTAGCAAAATTATTCACCGGAATTGTTTCAAATTTGGTATTTGAAGTTTCTTAATGGCTGCTACAGTCTGTGACAAAAAATTGTCTATGCAGGTCTAGGTCTTCGCATAGGCCCCATATATCAGTACCTGCCTATATTCGATATTTTGACGAGTTTAGGTACAATACCCACCGATATAGTTTGATATGTCATATTTAAACTTCGTAATGGAAGCTACAGCCTATGACAGAATATTGTCGATGCTGTTCCAGGTCTTCGCACAACTTCGATATAACGGTACCTCCCCCTATACGATATTTTGATGATTTTAGCTACATTATTCAGCGTATATTTCAAGTTTCGAATTTATATATGGTAATGGCTTATTACAAACAATGCCTATATAGGTCCACGTCGTATAGACCCCAATATAACGGCTATATTCGGTTTTTAAGGATTTAATTTCCAAATTCGTTCCAAATGGTGGAGGGTATTCAAAGTTCGGCCCGGCCGAACTTACTGCTTTCAAATGTTGTCATGGCTATATGTTCTTGTTCCATTGCAATGTTAACACATTTCTTTCTCAAAAGTACATGTGTATCACAACATGTTCGAAAACTTTATTTTGCTTGTTTCGAACATAACAATGTTGTACTACATTTTGTTTACAATGCATTTAAATGTATTTTCCAAACATATTTCTATGGAAGGTACTTTCTAGGAGCTCTATAAATATTGGGTCTTTAATAGAGAGGTAACCTTTGTGGAGGTTTCCTTTCAAATTGTAGAAGGTCTGTCAGATGCAAAGGATCAATCCACATGAAGACGATTTGAAAACTCTTCTTTAAATAAATGAGCTTCATCAATTGTTCCGTAGTTAAGAGATTTTTCGACCTGTCTTCTATGAAAGACAAATGACGGGGATTCTCTACGTTATTCTCCAATATTGCACCTATGTAAAATTTCATTAAACATAGCCCGTGGGGAATCACACCTCTGGTCTTTCCCATTATCCAACAGGTGTTTTTCACTTTCACCAC